AGAGAGAGAGAGAGAGAGAGAGAGAGAGAGAGAGAGAGAGAGAGAGAGAGAGAGAGAGAGATGTTATGGATGCCATGTGGGATGTCATCGGAGATCTAGAGTTATTGAATTGCTACATTCGGCATGATTGGTGGGCTAATAAGTGGTTCCGGGAGGCGGAGCTTTCGTTTGGGTGAGTTCAGTTGAGCGGCAGATTTCATCGAGGGGAATTCGCATTTTGGTGTCTGCACCATTCTTCTTCTTCTTCTTCCTAGTGATCCGAAGAAGATCACACTTCATCTGTCATATTCCGGGATGGTGGTGTGCCTTATAGTGTAGCCTTCCTTGCTTTTTGTTGCAACTTCACGGCCTCCGTGAAGTCGGGGAGCAGAGGTGGATGCACCAGACACAGTCCATCAGCAATATGCAGCAGAGGTGTATGCAGCAGACATATGCCATCATCATTAAATTTTGCGGTAGAGTGCGCTGCTGAGCCAAATTAGGTTTCAGCATCCCCGCCGCAGACCACACACACATTGGCTGCCTCCTTTCCTCCCAATCAGAAGACTCAGCTTCACACATTTCAGGTCCTGAATCTTGGCATCCAGTCATCGCGCTCATGGTTGGCACCGCCATTTGTTGTGATCCTTAATGTGGCGGGATGATGGTCCCGACTCGCTTCCGGGAGTGGGGGTCGGGGTCGCTGTCCCAGCGTGGTAATGGAATCGGGACTCAGGCGACGGGCCCAGGCGGGGGCTGAGAGGAACAACAGGGGGGGGGGGTGCTGGAAGAATGGCAAGGGGTATATTTTTTTCGCTGTCCAGGGTGCGTTCTGGGGTGCGGAATATTGACAGTGGGTGGACGTCAACCTTCACCCTACTCTGCTGTGGGGAGTGCAGAAAGTGAAGCGAGGGGGCGGACATCTTCGTACCCATGACGCTTCTTTGGTTTTCAGTCAGTTCTTTTTCAGGTCAGTTGCTCGTTTTCGTTTTGTCTCACAGATCCTGCGGTCCGGATTCACCCCCAGGCATCTCTGAACGATTCAAGGATGCGAGTTCTAGCTCTCCGGGGTCCCTCTGAGCACAGTAGTCTTCTTCCCCCGAATACAATGTACGGTCATTATAGCTGCATTTGGGGTATCTTTCAGTCTAAATACAGCTAGAATGACCGTGCGTTGTTTTCGGGGGAAGAAGGTATTCTTCTTCTTCTTCTGTCTGCTGCCAGGCCTTGTGACTTATCACGGTGATCGCAGCAGCTGCTATCTCACCGATCGCCTCAAGGTATCTGTAAGCGCGCTCCTTCCTCTCGAAGGAGCATCTGGCTTGAGGTTTCCAGGTAAGTTAGTCAAGGGCAAAGATCAGTGTATAAGCGGTGGTGCCTTGTTGTCAGTGTTATCAGTGTTATCAGTGTTATCACAAAATTTAATTGAAGATGAAATTTAAAGTTTTTGCCACTTTTTGGACTTGATGGCATAATTTTTTCATCAAACGTGATTGCAAAATGTGAAGTCAAATTATTCTGCCTGAGTTAGACTCTCCATTGAACGAGGCCATGAGGATGCATAGCGGCGGAGTGTGTACTGGAACGTATTCCATAAGAATGCGGACAAATTCTTAGGAAGCGTATCGGTCTTCTTCCCTAACAGGACAAATCCCGTGTCCCAAGGATAGTCACTTTGAGAGAGGAACTACCATGCTGGGCGCCGAGACACCCTCTGTGTCCCAGGGATAGTCACTTTGAGTGAGGAAATACCGTGCTGGGCCCCATGGTGTCCCAAGGATAGTCACTTGAGAGCAGAATTACCATGCTGGGCCCAATGGGGTCCCAAGGATAGTCAGTTTCAGTGCGGAAATAATGCCATGCTCGTGCCCCGCAGTGTCCCAAGGATAGTCACTTAGAGTGAGGAAATACCATGCTGGGTTCCACGGTCTCCCAACTATGATAGGCATTTTGAGTGAGGAAATACCGTGCTGGGCCCCACGGTGTCCCAAGGATAGTCACTTTGAGATCAGAATTACTATGCTGGGCCCAAAGGGGTCCCAGGGATAGTCACTTTGAGTGCGGAAATAATGCCATGCTCGGGCCCCACGGTGTCCCAAGGATAGTCGCTTAGAGCGAGGAAATACCATGCTGGGCCTTGGGACATTCAAGAAGGCAGTGTTACAGTGTTCCCCTTTTCTGCGCTGTGTGTTTTCCACAGCGACTGTCTCTTCAGTTGAGCTCTTTGCGGTATACACGGTACTTAGATCGTTTTGACTCGGGGCTGGGCCGATAGTGAAGGCCCAATACCACGACGAAATGTCCCAGTTGGAGGTCGTGCACCTTGGAAGGTATAGCTTCGCCGAACGACGTCGAGCTAGAGTCGCGTCGCGTGAACTGGTGTTTTGACGACAAGAATGCAATCCTAGTTCTACGGTCTCCATTCACTGGTGCCGAACCCATGTGGAACCCACTGCCGTCCCGCACACGTAGAACCCACTACAGTCCCAATGTGGACCCCACTGCTGTCCCATATGTGGAAGCTGCTGCTGTCCCACATGTGGAAACTACTGCTGTCCCATGTGGGGGTGATGGTGGCCCGTGAATTGTACTGACGATGCGCCACTGTGGAGCAGAGAGGTGGCACCTGTACTTGCTTCAATGCTAGGAGTTCGGTAGGGAACACACACACGCACACACACACACACACACACACACACACACACACACACACACACACAGAGGAACTTCCCCCCTTTGTTTTTGTCATCATCTGTGCAAAGGGTGCAGATAATGTGATATGGTTGACCAAAATTTTGTCCACATCAGTGTCCTTCCAGGTAGCCGATTCTGCGCCATGTGATATGCGATTTCACAACTAAGTATTCGTGTCGCGTGTGTACAGTGTACACCAATATGTGCGAAAAGCCTACTTTTAGATTTACATTAGATGGATGTGCTCCTCAGCCGTTGTGTTTTTTGTTTCCTTGTTTTTTTTTGTTTTTTTTTTTTCATAAGGGGGGGGGGGGGGGGCAGCAGCCCGGTTGCTTATCACCGGCGGCATGCATGTTTTTTGTAGATCCGAAGAAAGGGCGGGGATCGGAGCAGAGAAGGGGAACGGCCAAAACCTTGAGGCACTAGTTGCCTAGGAAGGGCGAAACTGCAAACAAGGGAGGAGGTCCTACCTTCCAAAACCGTGGCCTTTCTCTGAAGGCCACCCTGCTGGCCGGGCGGTTTGTTTGTTTTCTTGTTTTTTTTTTTTTTTTTTTTTTCCCTTCGACTCTCCCGCCTTTCACCAGCGTGACTTCCATAGCCCTGTCATGAGATTGGCAGGGACGGCGAGGCCATGATAGATGAAGGACGAGATCGGATGGACGAATCAAAAGGAAAAAAAAAAACAGTGTACAGTAGCCGTAAAATCGAAAGATGTTCTTGCTTCGAACATTTGCGGCAACGGACCGACTTTTATATTTCTTGCGGCTGCTTCTTTTTCCGGTTTTTTTTTTTTTTTGGGAACAAATGCTCCAGTCTATTCGTGGGGAGAGCACGTGCTGGGAACCGGGCCCAGCCATATAGAATTATACAAGTCATTTGAAATACCAGGGCCATTACCTGGCTTCGGCTAAGAACAATAATCTGAGAACTATTAAACGAGTTCAGGGAAATTTATGAAAAACATGGATAATGCTGAGCTATTGCTAGGCTACTCAAGCAGCAATTACTAAGTCAAAAAGGAAAGCCACAGAAGTCCTTCGAATGCTCAGAAATCCTGGAATCCCTAGCAAAACCCTCTAAAATTCTCTAACCCTGTCTTATTCCCTGCTGAGCTCTCCCAGGCCTTATGCCCCCACCCTGCTAGGTTACAGGGCAACACGACTCACCCCAGCTCCAGCAAGCGTCGTCCCGACAGCAATCCTTGGTTTTCCCTTGGAATGCCCGCCCCAAGGCATCTCCAGATGTCTCTACCAGGCCTCATGCACCTGCTATCAACAGGTTACAGGGCAACTCCCCAGCACCGGCCAGCGTCGTTCTGGCATTGGAAACCGCAGATCCATGAATATAACAGAATCAAAGAAGCCTACAGTGAGTTGCAAGAAGTACCGAGAATCCTAAAGCATTCTCAAAACCCGTCAAAAAGCAACCGAGAACAACAAAATTGTTTGTGAAAATTGGGAACCAATTAGGATAATTTGGAAGCCGACATAATCAAAACTATGTTACTCCAGTGCTATTCAACCGATCAGCCTACAGCTGCCTCACCCGCCCCAGCTCCGACCCACATCGTCTTAGTAGCAGCTCGCTGTTAGTCACTGGATTGCCTTCCACCCTTGACAGTTCCCCAGATCTCTCTACCAGGCCTCTAACCCCCACATAACTCAGGTTACAGCGCAGCGCAACCAAACCCCAGCTCCGGCCAGCGTCGTTCTGGCATCTACCAACATTGAACTCATGGATATGATGGCGAAACCCGTTGTCGGACGATCTGTTAAATACCACCACCGCAACCAAGGTTTCGAAATATTTGGCTCCCTTCGTGCACTGGTCGTGCTCAACATACCCGAACCACCTAAGCCCTCCCCCTGATCTCCACTCCGGCAAGACTTATCACGGTGGAGCCACCATCTCCATTGCTGTTATGCCTTATTTCCGTACTAGCCCCCTCACCAGCAGGAGTGTCACATCCCTCCAACTACTGATCCCACTTAGCCAAACGACACTCACCCCCACTTATGTGACCCCAACACGGAGGGGTAAGCTGGAGAGAGAAAAAAACACCATCCAAATCGAAGTATATCACACACGATCAATGCAAAAACAAGGTAGTAGAATACAACTCTGCTAGGTGAAATTCCGGCACTTACGAATTTAGGGTTTCCAACTCGATTTGTGGAGAAACTACCGGCGCGCTAGCGCTAACGCCCCAACGCCGCCTGACCGGCAAGGCCCGGTCTGCCGGCTAGA